TCTGCATAATTGTTTGGTAGAGATTGGTGTGGCAGAACTCCTGTTACCAGGAGTCTTTGCCTTTAGACCTTTTTCCCCTCTGATCACTGTTTGCACAGCACCAGCTTCTCTACTTTGCCATGGTAAGTGTTGCTTCCCAAATAATATAATGAAACATCATTGATTATAGATCCACCCCACCCCCCCTCCCCAAAAAAATGTTTTGTTTCACATTTATTTTTACATTTTGCACTTAGTCAGGATTGGTGATATGCAGTGCGCAAATGCATGCAGCTGCTGTGGAAATAGCTGCAGTGTTCTTACTTTTTCCTCAGTGTGCCACAAAAATCAGTGCATGAGATGTGTGAGCACATTTTGATGTATTTGAAAATATTTATGACTAGGTATTGTTCCAGGGATCTGGAATTTGCCCTCCTGATTGTTCTGAAATAATAAAAGTACAATGAGCCTCAACTACATTCTGTCAGTCATTTCACCTTTTGAACCTTTTAAAGTAAATAAAAACCTTGCAGATGTTTATTTTCTAAGCATGTAAATAATCTGACTGAACAAACTGCATCTGCTTTGCTTTGTCTGCATCCCATGAAATCATTACATTGTCTTATTAAACTCTGCTAGATCCTGAAGGTCTCTGTGCTTGTTTGACACAGTAATGTCCACATGCATCACTTGTAAGGGACCTTGGGAACTTGCACACAAAAGAACACTTGGCCCTATCTTTACCGTAATTCCATGATTTTTGTGTTTTGTCAATCACTGATATCAGAATTGCACCTGACTTCTGTCAATGCCTCAAGAGGAGAGAACAGTTCTAATGTTTCCACTGATCCATGAAGGAACAGTAAAGCAATTGGAGAAAAGCTATGGATGTACTTGAAGAATAAATATAAATTTCTCTTCTGGTGTTGTTGTGAGATGTTTTGCTCCTGACTGTATCTGCCTCTTAATTTGCATTCTTTTTATTCTGTAAAGAAAATAGAGCTACAATTCATAACTACCTTTATTTGCTTCTCATCAACTTCCTTGGGATTTACCCATCAAAGAAAATGTTTAATTACATTGTCAGGATTCATTTAATTACCTTTTGACTTGAAATTCATTTCCTAGCGTGAATGAAAAGCTTTTAAAAAATCATAGGTCCCTTAGGAAAATTATTTGAATTCCTTTAACTGTGGCACTGATATTTTACAGACTAAAAAGAGGCAACAAATCTAACTTTGTAAACACTTGGCACAAAAATCAATGTAAACAATAATATGACCAAATATTTATAGAATCTGAAAAGGAAGTAAATGTTGCATAAACAAGAGAAGAAAAAAGACCTTGAGAAGAGAAGGAACTGCCAAAATAAAATAAGCTACTGCTGTCAATATCTTGGCAACAGAGACAAAACTGCTCCCCTGACTCACCCTGTTGTTACCAGCACTGGCTGAGCTCTGCAGCCAGCATGGAGCAAGCAAGATGGCAAAATCCAAGAACAGCCAGGAAATAGCAGCAAAGCATGGCAGGTGGCCACTCCCTCATCTGGTTTCCTGACCATGTTTTAAAGAGAGATTTATTTACAGAGTTAGTGGTAGTGAGTACCCAGAAAGCCTCACCTATCTCAAACACTATTTCTGTTTAATTTCTGTCAATTTTTCTTAATTAATTTTTCTTACTTCCTATGCTAAACTGGTGGTAGGAAAATGGAAATGGGTGGCCTCAGCTGGCCTCAGAGTGGGTATCCAGTGTGAGAATCCAGCTTATAGGACTGATGGTATCTACCTTCAAAAATCCTAGGTACAAGAAGTAATTTGTTGTAGTCTCCATTTAAACAGCTTTCTGCACACAATATGTTCTCCAAAGTCTAATTAACCATTAGGTTAGAGATAGTCTTTTACATCTAGGATCATTATAACGATCCCTTACGTATTTCATTTTTGGATACCCAGTGTACTTTACTTTCACTTTTAATTTTTTTTTTTAATTAAATCAAGCAATCAGAGAAACCTGGCTAGCTTTAGACACTTTGGTTATAGTTTTTGAACTCTCTTTGACTGTTCTTTCTGCTGATTTAGAGGAGCTGACAGATGATTAAAGCTATGTGTGTCCAATCACCAAGAAGTTATTTCCCTTTCTACATTCCCTGATTGACATGAAAGGTGAGAAAGGAAAAGTTCAAACAGGCAGTAGCAAATGAGATAATTTTAAATTTATCACTGTGAAGAGAAAGCAGCACTTTGCATTACCAAACAGACAAAATAGTGCCCCAAATGTCAAAATTCTGACAGTGTGAGGATTTTTATCCAATTATGGTTTTGACTTTCTTTTTTGATAGCATGAACTAAGATATTATTATATTGTATCTTAAGTTCAGCAAAATGCTTTGCATTATATTTATGTGTAATTGAGGAAATCAATGTGGAGGGGAGGGGACAGGGAAGGGAAGGGAAGGGAAGGGAAGGGAAGGGAAGGGAAGGGAAGGGAAGGGAAGGGAAGGGAAGGGAAGGGAAGGGAAGGGAAGGGAAGGGAAGGGAAGGGAAGGGAAGGGAAGGGAAGGGAAGGGAAGGGAAGGGAAGGGAAGGGAAGGGAAGGGAAGGGAAGGGAAGGGAAGGGAAGGGAAGGGAAGGGAAGGGAAGGGAAGGGAAGGGAAGGGAAGGGAAGGGAAGGGAAGGGAAAGGAAGGGAAGGGGACTCTTGAGATACCTGTAGAAATAATTCCAGTTGAAAAAGATGACTAAAAGATGGATGATACAAAAACAGTAGAATAAAATCAGCAGTGGGTGTACTTGCTCTTGTAACTTGTTGAGGGCTGCTGAAGCAGGAACTGCAGTTTAAATCCTGGAAATGCATTAGATGGGGCAACAGACAGACTCCTTGCAGAAATGCAGAGTCTCTTATCGCTGCAGGTATTCAGAAATTCCATATGCACAGACTTCTGTTCTTTAATTCCTAGTGGTCCTGGGTTGCAAAGTACTATATTGGGAATATGTGAGTCAATTTATTCCAGACTGACAACCTGTCACACAAATGTCTGCATCATGTATAGATATGGACAAATATGCACACAACTATGATGTAAATTTAGGTGGCTTTGGAAAGAGTACAAAGGCTCAAACTTCTTGATCATGCCTCTCATGAGACTCTAACTGAACAGTCTTTATGCTGAAATTCTATTTTAGTGTAAGATAAGCTTATTATTTTCCTTATTTAGTAGCTAAACTTAGCCAGCATACAACAGCTTAAGTCAAATTTTAACCACTGTTCTTGTCCAGATTATCCTTAAATTTGAAATCATCATTGCCTAATCGAGTGCTTCCAGTAATTTAGAGTGCAGCACAGCTGGTCTTCTCATCATGACAAAATAGGTAGCCAGTATTTTTTTTTGTGTGTTCCTGAAAGGATGTTTGCTGTATGTCAAATTCATTAAGCTGTGACATAACTAATACTAGACCTTTGTGCCTTGTCTGCAATACTATATGAATCTATTGGAATATAATTTCTAGTGGTTATCTGTGTCTGCAGAAATAATTCATGCTATTGTCACATTTATACACCAGCAATAAAAAACAAGGAACAAATCCGGAGGAGTGGGATGCAAGCAAATCCCTCTTCTCTTTGTGTCTTCGAGTCTCAACAGGTATGCACAGCATCCACTGATTTTTAGAAGTCTCTAGAGCAATCAGGATACCATGACATTACATTTCCTGCTTCAGTGAATATTTGGAAATTTATTGACCCACTTAATCTCATTTGGGTTTATTTTAAGACTTGGAAGAATGAGTAAAAGAGAAAAGTAATTAGCAGGCTACACCCAAACTATCCAGTGTTGTGATTCTCAAGCAGGAAACTAGTGGCAAGTGACTAATTAGCCCTGTAGAGAGAGTTATGCTCTTTTGTTACACGTTCTCTGAAAACATTGGGCCAGCTTCCCCCTACAGAGGGGTCACAACGATGCAGAGAAGGAATTCAATGCCACCTCACTTTCAATATGTCTCATAGTATCAGAAATACACAGTATGCCCAGGGAGCCTGTAATGGTTTATGTTGTGTTCTAGGTGCAATCTTACTCCACGTTTTCAACCCTGAGAATAATTCTTGTCAGTGAATTCCCTCATGATTTTGGGTTTAGCTGAAAATGCTAACATATTGGAATTCATTTTCTAGCAGAATAAGAACTAGTTATAGATTTTTATTTCAGTCCCAATGTGTTTTTATATTTCATATTTAACTCTTCTTCTTTGAGATATATAGTAAGATTAACCCAAAATTTTATCCCAGCTATTTTAATTTTCATGTACACTCTATGCAGTGTAGGACTTGGTCATGTTCCAGGCTCATAATTGCCTTACAGCAGGACCTTCTTTGAGAGTGCTGTGGGAACTAACCTTAAAATATTTTGCTAGTAAGACAGTAATTTTTTATACTTTTCCCAAAGGTTAGCTACTTGGTAAGGCTTTCCCTTTTTTTTAATGGCAATTTTACATCTGAAGAGCTCATGGTACTACTGAGTCCACCTCATTTTCCCCATAACCCAGTTGGTGTGGTGGAATTTGAGCACACTGCATCCTTCTTTCTGTAACAAATTTGAAAACAGCCTTATGTCTCAAAATTTAAGTGTTTAAATTAATATTTCTTGCCTATTTAAAAAAAGTTTCAAATTATGAGGCTATTGAGATTTGTATGAGATTTCCTTTAATGTGTCAAATAATTCTTACTGCTAGTATTATCCGTGAAAGACAAAAAATGTGAAACATAAGCTCTATCCTCTGTGGGCAGATTGCCTCTGGCAGCTAAAACTGGAGGAATGGACTTCGTTACCCTACATCTCCAAAACAGCAATAGTTGCAAAAGTCACAATATTGCCTTAAGGTTATTTCTTATCTTACCAAATGCCTTGAGGGGACAGTCAATCTTTGTTCTCTCACACACATTGAAATACAGCTCACATTCATTTTTTAAGGGAAAGAGAAGTAAGAATTTTTTATATTTTTTAAATTCTTTAGATTTTTTTTTTTTGAGTAAATTGGAATAGCTGGTGTCTGGATATGGGCAGACACAGAAGATGTCAAATATAATGGAAATATTTAATGTTTTTCTATAAACTGTGCAGTATACAAAATTCCAAAGTTTAAGCAATGATGAAATATATCTATATTTATATTTTATTTTTATTTATAGAAAAAGTAAATGCTCTGGCCTAAGAGCAGAAGAGAGCCAGGAGATAATGTGCTATCATTTTAACAGCATCTAAGATATCACAAGGGCTTTACAATGGAAAGCAAACCAAACCAGTGCCAATGTTTTGCAGTTTTATAGTCTATAGGTCAAAGTTTCCAAACATCTTTTCTAAAATCATCCCAGTCCAACACCAGTGTCATGACTGAATGTCATGCTTGTATGGCAAATACAAAACATGTCAGTGATCTGAAGAATTGCATTACACATTCAGTCGTTTTGATTTAATATTGGGGTCAAGGTGGAGAGAGACAGCTAGGGACAAGTAAAAAAGGTAGAAATGTACAGTAAGAAGGACTTTCTACCTTCAAGGTTAGTCTAGTCAACAAGCTTCCTTAAAAGTTGAGCTTTTCATCCTAGGAAGAAAGAGAGGGGAAAATGCCTTTAAAGTCAATACTATATCAGTTTCTGTATAGGTAAATGTCATTAGGAAGAAACAATGCAATTGAGAGGCAACAGGAGGTTGTGGGCATGCTGGAAATGTTCCTATATAATCTCTAACTAGCTCTGAGAGAAGTGAGAAATCAAACAGTGAGCCAGACTGAAAAAAATTAGAGGGCAATTAACCTTCAGAAAATGTGGAGAGAACAAGAAGTACAAAGAGAGAGGTTTTATTAGAAATTTCATCGCTTCTCAAGATGATGTGTGCTGTGTTGTGCCAGCATGTGACCCAAGAAGTGAAAAGCATCTAATGTATCCTGTTGTCTGCTTGGGATGTAGCTCTTTCATCTATTCAGGCATCCAAAAAATAATTCTTCCAAGTACTTTTTTCCTGCTTCCTTTTGTGACCTGCTTGAATGAAGAAATATCTTCTGAGATGTACTTCAAGGTTTCAAAATGTTTTAAATTCCAGTTCAGAAGGACCTAGGCATAAGACATGTTCTTTTATAGCAGAAAGAACCTACCACCTTGACAGCTAAGGCATCCTTGTTCTTTCTGAGCTGGAGGGCTGACAGGAGCCAAGGAGAAACCACGTTTCAGAAGGGCTGTGTCCTGCCTCTGCAAAAGTCTGTGACTCCCACTGCATTGTGTGACTTCCACTCTGTCATGGATTAATCACAAGGGATACTGCCCTCCCACAGAAGGAACATCCTACACCTAGAGATAAGTGCTCCAGTCTTTCTGCTTCCCTTGGATTCTCATCTTTGTGAGTACAGGGATGCCAGTTTGGGGTGAGCCTAGTCTGAGATCCAAGATGGGTGGGAGACACCACAGATCATCAGGACTTTCTAAGTGGGAGTGGTGCTGCCCTGGAGCCAGTCTGCTTCACCTGGAGCTGGGTTGGTACTGCTCCTGGTAGCACACCACAAAGAATCCCTGTCTCCAGGATGAACCTAGGGACAGGAAAAGGAAGAGCACATCATTAGATATATAATTCTCCCATATATATCACCAGTTTTTTTCACTTAATTTTCTAGTAAATCTCATATTTCTAGCCCTACCTTTATTTACATTCTATTTTGCAAAGCTGATCTTGGTCATGAGTAGAGCATGCAGGCACAAATGAGAGTACTTTTTGTGATAAAGGCTGGAACAAATCTGGAGCCATACATAGCACTGTATGATTTATTTAATGTTTATCCAGATCACAGCAGCATTTATAGTGACAGCCATTATGCAATTCTCATTTAAACTAAAAGAGCTAGTGTGCCCTAATATTTTCAAATAATGTCTGACTTCTTTCATTATCCTGCTATAAGGAATGCCATCAGCATTTCTTTTGCATGGCTGTTTCTACCTAGGGTAACAGCATATATGAGTAAATACAGGTCCTAATCTTATAAAAAAGATCATTACCTGTTTGAAGAATGTAATGAAGATGACCAGTAAGTTTCACAGGAGATGACTGTTTCTTCTAATTGGCAATTCCTGGAAAAGGAAAATATGATAGTACCTATGAATTGTATAAGCTGTACTATACCTATGGTTCAGATTTTCATGCTCCTTTTAATCTTCTGTTCTAAAAATATCCCTTCAACTAAGAAAACAAAATTCTGAAAGCTTCCCAAAAGACAGAAATGCTATTACTAAGAGCATGGCTTTTCTGACAAGTGCCAGCTGACATTGCCAATGATTATAGCTGCATACATAAAATGTAAAAGCATCCTGCAAAGAGTGTGATGTTCAATTCTGTTATGAATTTTAATCATATAAAAATATGGTAGATGACTGTGCAAAAATAGTTACTTCTATTTGCCTGTGTACATCAGTCTTAGTAATTTTGAGAGACTGATTATGTCAATATCTAAGTGTAAATGAAACCAACTATATTCTTCAGTTAATTCTGATCTATTTTGGTGATAAATATTGAAAATGAGTAATCCAATGCATCTGTTGTGACAAAAAACCCAGCTGACTACATATGTACCTAGCACTGAGACAGGCAATTCTGCTGTGCATCCAGTCTTATTGTGAGTTTTGGGAAGATGTTTGTTGCATGCAAACTTGACTTGATATTTAATGACATGGGAACCCCCTTGGATCAATTAGTTATTTTTTGTTTACATTTCCATTAGGTAAAATTGTTTCCCAGTTTGGTGCTGCTTACCACAGTTATAGAGCCTATGCAGGAGTTATGCTGCTCATGTTTCCAGCAATGACAAATCTAACATATTCAGAGAGATTTTTCTCCACAAACCAAAATTATGTTATCATTTTTTAAACTTCTTACTGAGGATTAGGTGCAAACTTACGCTCTTTCTGCCACCAGCATTTATGGTGTTTGATGTTTTGAATGGAATATGTATTAAATATTAACTTACCTTGGTTTGTGTTGGCTTGAGTTTAGAATGTGTGTATGGGCTGTGAAAGGATATATTGCTTTTAATTACCTCTAGGAAAAGTGGTGGAGGAGGTAGTTGGGTAGAATGCCACAGAAGGATATAACCTTGCAAAACAAATTATCTCCAGTGACATTACACCAACAAGAATGTTTACCTGCAATTTTTGCTGCTCTCTGAATCATTTAAAGAAACGAAAACACTACAACTTCAATTTTCTTGCTGTGACATGAAGTTTTTCAAACTGCAGTGAGTTTTTTTTAATATTTTATCCATTTGAGGGTGTAAATTTAATTCAAGCAGTGCAGCTGACACAGGTTAGAAGGCAAAAACCACAGACTTTTTTATTTAATAAAATTAAAATAACATCTAATTATTCATTCCTGACCAGGCTCTTCAGAGTCTTCAGAAAATGGAATTTCTGGAAGGAAAGGAGATAAAAAACTGGATGAGGATGACTCAGGCACTACTGTTTGGACAACTGAAACTGGCAATAAATGATGACCATGAACGAAGTCTACATGCACAGAGAAAAAAAAAATAGCATATTTCAAGTATAGGCAAAAACCATCCACTTTAAAGAGTCTTGTTACGTATGATAGATGAAACTTTGGTGAAAGGAAAATGCATGTAAAATTAAATAGTGGTAGGGGTCTGATTGGATTATTTTTTTCACCTGAATCTTTTCAGTCCAAGGAAGTATAGTAAGTGATGGTACTTTGGGATTGGTATAGTTTATATTTTCATTTGTACAAATACTCTAGTGAATGGCTATGTGACAATCTCATATATTATTGTTTCAATATTGACCAATATTGCAGAGGTTTAGGTGCACTGGAGGATAAAAAAATCATTCCAGCTTTGAATAGAATTGCCAAAATGAAGCATTATCTTGACAAAAAAAGTTTCAGATCCTTGGATTTGAATCTAGACTTTAGAGAAGCATGAAGACCACATCAGCCATGTTCCATAAATCCCACCCTTTCAGTTTAATTAACTTTCATATATTTTTAATTGTTTCAGGCAAACAGAACAAAGTAATCTTTAATAATGTATGCTATATATATCAGATACACTTATATTTCTAAATTCTTACAGTATACATGTACGCCTACATTCAAGTTTCAAAATTACTGCCAAATCAATATAACATTTTAAAAAGTGTGATAAAAAAACATAGCAGCTCAAGGCATTTCTGTTCAAGTTGCTTTCCATTAAAGGTATTGTTTCATATCATTCATCTTCACCATGTTGTGTTTCCTTTGGGCTTCTATTACTATACCTGTTATGTCAGTCCCATTGTAGCAATGACAGTGATTTATCAAGCACATTAAATCTGCAGAATCTCTATCCAGTAAAGCTAGTTTTTCAAATATTAAATCTCAAATGTGTTGCATTTAACCTGCCCTGAACTCCTGAAACAAACTCTGTCGTCCTTTTAAATGAAATAATATTTGACTACATTAGCAAACTTTTTGCCTCAGTGTAACATAAAACATCACCTGCTGAAGTTAGATGTCTTGAAGAAGCTTAAGAATTATTTACACAAAGAAAAGCCAACTTATCCCAAAGAGTCTGTCCCTCTTAAGCTTATCTTTTCCTTTACTCTCTGATATGTCACTGTCTCCTTCAATTTTCTCTCAACATAAAATTGCCTGGCTGTCTCCTAAGATGATTTCTGCCATTTGCCTCACTGGGCACAGTATGCCAGGCTGTGCAGGCTAGCCTGTGTTACTTTGTCAAACCAATTCCTGATTTAGAACTATCTATTAGATCATCCTGAAGTCTTCTCTTTTTCTGTGAGCACTAATGTTGACACATCTAAGAGAGCACAGGGAGGAACATAAAAGACTACAAGATGCTAAAGGAAAGATGAAAAGAGCAGAGCACATTTAGCTTTGTCAGATACAAATGAATAGATGTAAGATGACAGATACAAGTGTAAGGAGTTAGAAGAATTTTTCAGGTTGGTCAGAGGAAATAATCAACATTCATGAAATAACTGTATATGATGGATGTTTTTATAATGGTATATATAATGATGTCAAGTGTTTTCTGAACACACTAGGAAAGAAAATTTTATTTTTGAAGAGCTTGTAAAGTAAGGTAGACATTTTCAGGAGTGAGGGCAAGAGAATAACCAGAACCTATAGACCTCCTTCTCCTGCATCTTGTGGGGAGTATTTATCCTTCTGAAAGTCTTTTCTCTCTCCTAACCCTTTTTCTCTGCAATAGATTAAGAACAATGAAGACAAACACAACTAAATTAATATTGACTTAACTAGATATACATAGAAGTGCATTTTCAGACAAATAATTCCCATTTTTGTTCACATACTGACTGATAGGTGTAAGAGATCCTCACTAGCTCCTTTTTTTAAAGTTGATAAGACTTCTTTTGGGGGAAGAGCTGATTTGTCCTTTGAAGGAAAGATATTAAGTAATAATAACCTATCTACCTTATAAAATTATTATAACATTTTCCAGCGGTGGAATCTCTAGACTACAGAGAGTAGTATAAAAGCTTTTTGCTGACTTGATACACATGGATGAGTTTCAGCATCTAATAATAAAAGATGTATTTACTATATCTCTGATGTTGCTTTAAAACTTAAAGTCACTTTATCCTATTCATATGTAATCTCAGTGCCAAATCTCCATTTTATTTCAGTCAATTGAAAAACTCCTTTTACCTGCAATATAATAGTACAGACCCAATAGATATAGCCTTTAGATAGGTTATCATCCATTCCTGTTAGGCATGGTTATCACTTTCAATGTAAGATTGCATGCCAGTGGGCTGAACAACCAGCCGAGGAAGATGAATAATGTTCTCAGCAGTGCCAGAGTTTCCATCCCTGTCCTCAGGGCTTACTGTTACTGATTTATAAAACAAAATATTTCAAACAAAAAATCCAGCCAGAAAGAGACAGAAAATTTTCAGTTTCATCCCAACTACATCTGCCCTTCAGGCAGGATTGATAAGGTAGAAATTCTGGCTATTGCCACCTTGCCTTAATGATTCTGCAACAGTTTCTATGCTACCTTCTCTGCATGTAGGGGATCAGGAAATCCTTTAATTTCTCTGAAATACTTTTCGCAAGGGTGCAATCATTACTAATTTCATGGGGAACATAAATAACAAATATATGATGAGTTATTGAAGATATAGTCATGCTTTTAATCTTGCTTTATTTGTTGCTCATTTAAAAACACTGATTTGCTGTTTATAGTTATCTTGGTCAAATAGTAAATATAAAAAAATTCAGCTGCTGAGTTTTTTCACTGTACCAGCTCAACATCTTGGGAACAGTCTTTAGTTTTAAATTTATTCTCTGTAACTCTTCAATTACCATTGGAAGGTTGTGATGAAAAGCAAAATACTATTATTAACTCTTTCATGGACATATTTTCCCTGAACTCTGATATAAGTAGGGCCTAGGTAGAAATGTAGGTGAGAAACCAGGCTAAAGAACCACTATTTTACAAGCTCCAGTGGAAGCATACAGCATGATGCACCATCCCTTATTTGCTTGAATTTAACAGTAATCCTATGCTCTCACAATTATTTTACAAAGAGATAGCATTACATAAACATACATATTAGAGCATGCAGTTTCAGAGGTCTCCTGAAGAGCAGGATGTTTCCACCTTCATTAACCTGCCTCACCTTTGGGAATAATGCCTGGCATTTCAGGAGACTTAAAGGACATGGTAGTTTGCATGAAAATCTAATTCCATATTTTTTTCATTCACTGAATAAAGTTTGTTTCATTAGATGAGAACTGTACTCCCACATTCAGGACATCAGAACATCTAAGAATCAGAATGGCCCTTTCACCACTTCACTGTCCTCTGCAGTTCCAATTACATTGGGACAAATTAATGTCTTGCTCAACATAAAATTTATGGCTGTTTTTCTAATTCTCCTATTATACTAACCTATTAATGCATAAACTATCCAGATTAATTGATTGCTTTTGCACCAACACAAAAAGAAAAATAAAATTGAGAGAAAATTAAACCAGTATAATTCTGGTTATTATAGTTAATGAATTAAATCTTGCCACAAAGAGTGTCTTTTCTACCAGTATAATTCTCTCACGTTTGCAATCTTTGCCAGAAACTTCATTTTAGTTTGGGAGAGGAGCAGATCTGACTGACAGGAGCAGAACAAAGTTTGGCTGAACCTTTCCTCTGATAACAAACCTCAAACCACCTTGAACTCTGGCTCTGCACATGATTTGATTGGGTCAGCCCGTCCCACTATCTCAAGAACAGCAATCAGAGAGTTGTCAGCCAGGAAAAGGTTATGTAGCAAAAGCAATGTAAATTTCATAGAACAGAGTAACTGCTAAAACTTTTCTCCTTAAGTGGAAGCGGCAGGGAGTTTGGCAGTAGGAATGCAACAGCCACATAACACTTTGTGCTCCCTGAAGAAAGGGTTCCTCAGGCTTATGTGAGGACTGACATGAGTAGCTTTGAATATTAATACATTTCCTCATCTCCTGGGTATCAGTGAGAAGAACTGCCTTGATAAGAATGAACATTAGTATTTCATATTTTAAACTTGGTATATGCATAAGTTTTAATCTAATATTGTGGTTGTAGAAAATGACAAAAACTTAATAAGGTCAGATACGGAACTTATGAATGAGTCCTGACCTATAAAGCAAGGTATATTCTCAGAAGTATGTAACAAGCTTTTAATCTTCAGATACCAATGCCAAGTGCATAGCTGGACCATTTCCTTTGGACTAAGTATGGAGTGAATTGGTTTGCAATGAAGCCAACAAAAAGTTGGCAAAGTAGCCACTAATTATATGGAAGGGACTCAAGCATCTTGTTGAATTGAGATAGGCACTATGACTTGGTGTCAAGAGACAGTCTGAGAATTTCTGTGAATTTTTGGCATTCTGTATTAGACAAGTGTTCACCAGCCTTGTATGCCCTTCAGAGAGAACTGTCTCTCTTTTTTTTTTTTTTTTTTTGACTTATCTTTTCTTCTTCATGCTGAATGCATTTAGTTATTTTGTAATACCTCTTGATTTCATCCTCACATTTTCATTTTTTAGTAAGAACCTTAATAAAAAATTTCAAAACATTGAGCCCCAAATTTCTCTTAAAGAAACTCCACTAAAATCTCTTAGATAATAAGCTCTCATTGTGTTTTGTGAGTTTTTCATCTGTCTTATAATTTCTCTGTTCTCTCTTCACCATCAGTTATTTCTGTTAAGTTAAATTAATTTACATATAGAAAAATCAAAGGCAGTTATTAAATTAGGGTGGCATGCTATAAATTTGTTAGAACTATTCTGCATTGTCTTCAGTTTTCAGTTTGCATCCACATTGCATTATATACTTCTTCAAGCCTTTTTAAAGTTTCTCATAATTCTTTGTGATGGGATACATGATGGAAATCCCTAGGAAATTTTTCCTTCCATTAATATAGCTTCTCTCTGCCTTTGCTTTTGTCAATGACTGTGACTGTCTTCAAATTAATAGACTGGAGAAGAAAAAAAAAGGAAAAGGAAAAGGAAAAGGAAAAGGAAAAGGAAAAGGAAAAGGAAAAGGAAAAGGAAAAAGGAAAGGAAAAGGAAAAGGAAAGGAAAAGGAAAAGGAAAAGGAAAGGAAAAGGAAAAGGAAAGGAAAGAAAGGAAAGGAAAGGAAAGGAAAAGGAAAAGGAAAGAAAAGAAAAGAGAAAAGAAAAGAGAAAGAAAAGAAAAGAAAAGAAAAGAAAGAAAAGAAAAGAAAAGAAAAGAAAGAAAAGAAAAGAAAAGAAAAGAAAAGAAAAGAAAAGAAAAGAAAAGAAAAAGAAAAGAAAAGAAAAGAAAAGAAAAGAAAAAGAAAAGAAAAGAAAAGAAAAAGAAAAGAAAAGAAAGAAAAGAAAAGAAAAGAA